GTGTGAATAGCAAAAATAGGGTTTGAAGGAGTTTTATCTTGATTAACCACTATTTGAGTTATTATATTATTGCTATGCTATGTACAAACTCCATTTCTAGAATATCACAAAGGCCCAATATAACATACATATACATACATTCTTACGTATGTTTATTATGTGGGAGTATAACCATATTGCTGAAAGAAAAAACTATTTACGACATGTTGCTGGAGTAACAGTCAGGAGCGTAACATTAGAAAAATAATGGTAACCATATGTTTAAACATACATATGGCACTTAGAAAATTAAATTAAAAAAATCTTCTAAATCTTGGCTGATTTTTATACAACGTTGAAGCGTACCAAAGTTCACATCTTTGTCGACCATTCTTTATGAAAATATTCAATATATGTTCTCTTTTTGAAATTACCTCCAAACACAGAATGTCCGCCTAGGAAAACGTTTAAGTTCCTCGAGCCAGAGGGTAAACAGCGGATTCTGGTCACGCCCTTATAGTTCTATAGTACTGACTTATTCATTTGAAATTCCTCACGATAGGATAAAATATCACATTAAATTATCAATATAAGATAGTGTATTCACATAGTCTAGAGTGTCTGTAATTGAACCACTATTTTTCGGAGCATGATCAATCTACTAATCTACTGATCGACTTAAAGAACTTTAATGCACCCACGTGGAGAAGGGTTAAAAAAGTTATGTCTAAGTTTTCACATAAGCCGTATATAAATATATAACCCCAATCGGGTTTTTGGAGGTTGTAGCCGTATTTTAATACCATTTGGGCTGTGATTTGGCGTTCTGAACTTCTGGAGGGTAATAAGCAACTTTGCAGAAACTATTTTTACATACATGTTTACACATTTTGAAGATTTCAGCTGCATTTTTCCAATGAAGTGACTGTAATTTGGCGTTCCGGGGTTTTGGAGGGGAAAATATTTGGAAGAAAATTTTCGATATATTTCCCTTTCAAGGTTTCTCTTAAACGCTTCAAAATATATTGATATAGTTTGGTATGTTGCTCCAATAAATATATACATGGCCGATTTTCTGCAAATAGTGCACATATAAAGTTTGTCTGAGTGTACAGTGGTATGTTTTGTCCCGTTTAGGCGTTTTCAAACTTTAGGAAAAAAACATATATTTTAGCAAATTTTGTAAGAAATTCAAATCCTCTAAACGGCATTACAGAATAATATAATTCCCTGTAGGGAATTCCCTAATATAATTCACTGAAGCTTTACTAAAATTAATAAATGTCAAAATGTTACTGTGGAACTTTTTGGAAAAATTACCCTCAAAATGGCTCCAAATTAGTATTTCTAGTTTCGAATTATCTGTAACACCATCTATATAAAGATTCCGTGCGTTTGTCATTATATTAGATTGGGGGAAAAGGAATTCATTATTTTTATATGAACTAAAGGACTTTATTTAAGATGCTTCGATTTGGGTCAAAAACTCTAATAGTAGATTTTCACAATCCTCCCTAGATACCAATTTTTATCATTAAAGAAATTTTGCAATGCACGAAAAAAATGGTAATCGCTAGTTGCCAAGTCCGGACTGTATGGCGGATGCATTTAAACTTCCCAACCAAGTTCCCGAAGTTACTGGCGAGTCACTGTATATGTGTGTGGCCTAGCGTTGTCCTGGTGGAACACGACACCTCTCCTGTTGGTCAATTCTGGCCGTTTCTGATCTATTGTAAATGGTTTCAAACAGTTTTATGGCCGATTTTTAGCTCCTGGGTGATGTTACGACTGCGAACATGCCGCTTAACTTCGATCATTTCTCCGATTTTATAGACATTTTCGACGACCGGTCTACCTGTGCGAGGTGCACCATTAACATCAAAAATTCCTGAACGGAATCTACATAACCAAAATTGCGCATAATTGGCTATTACAGTATCGGAATCATAAACACCATTCACAATTTTAGCCGCTTGGTTTGCATTTTCGCCTTTGTCAAAGAAAAACGGTAAAATATACCGAATTGTATCTTTGTTCACTTCAATTTTTAACACCCTGTAACTCACAACTGAATGCATCACAAAATTAATTGCGTCCGGTTTTATATTACAGGTTCCGAAAGATGTTATGTATGTTCGACCAACAGGCTATTGTTCATATGTAACAAAAATAATTTGAGAGTAAAACGGCATTTACATTAGAACTTTTTACCGGGTTATCCTACTCTATGAGGATTTATTTGACATATATACAAAGGAATTGATATTTGAAACCCACTGGGTTAACGAAATCCGGTTAAATGTAAACGTACTATAAGCTTGTTGAACTGGGTTTAATTTTATACCCTCCACCATAGTATGAGGAGTACATTAATTTTGTCATTCCGTTTGTATCTCATCGAAATATTCATTTCCGACCCTATAAAGTATATATATTCTTGATCAGGGTAAAATTCTATGACGATCTAGCCATTTCCGTCCGTCTGTTGTAATCACGCTATCTTCCGAAGGAATTAAGATAGGGTGCTGAAATTTTGCATAGGTTTGTCCTTTGTCTGCAGTCGGTCAAGTTCGAAGATGAGATATATCGCTCCACGTTTACGCATAGTTCCCATATAACAGGAAACCCAACCCCTCCCCCCCCCCAATTTTCGGTATTTTGGGGTTTTTGAGCGCGTTTTTCAACCAAACACGCTGAAATTTGGTACATTGGGTTCTTATTGGGAACTAAATGCCTCCATAAAAAATTGTAAATATAGATCCACTTTTTCTGGTAGACCCTATATAACTGTACCTCCTAATTTTAAGTATTTTTGGGGTTTTGATCGTATTTTTTCACCGAATAGACTGTAATTTAGTATTTTGACTGCTTAATAGGTACCAAATCTCTCCACAAAAACTTATAAATATAGATCAATTTTTTTCGGATATCCCTCATATAAGGGGACTCCCCAATTTTCGGTATTTTGGGGTTCTTGAGGGCGCTTTTCAACCGTATTCGCTGCAATTTGGTATTTTGCAGTCGTATATGGTAACAAATCTCCCTACCAAAATTTTTTAATATTCATCCCCTTTTTTGGGTCGTCCCCATATAACCCAATTTTTATACCCTACACAACTATGTTGTCAGGGTATTATAGCTTTGTGCAGCCCCGCGAAATATTGGTCCTAGACCCACCTTTAAGTATACCGATCGTTATATCTCGACTAGCTGAGTCGATCTAGACATGTGTGTCCGTCCGTCCGTCTGTCCATTATAATTTGTAAACACGAGTTATGGACTAAGGAATAAGCATGCCAGTTTTGATAAAGATCGGTCAATATTTAGCGGGTCAAATGGACCCTGACTTTTGTGTGAAAAATGACCAAATTTGTATTCTATAGCATATATATTTACCACTGAAGGACATAGACCCGAGAAGTTCATATTGTATCCAAGAGGAGTGGTTAACCTTTAAATTAATACCAATTATATTGTTGTTTGTGCTCGGATGTGGGAGTTACACCTAAATATTTACAGGTATCTCCGTATTCGTATATTATTTAGTAACCCATTATCACTCTAGAGAGCGGAACTATAGCGCTGATCGCTTTGAAATATTCCATGAGGGTCCAGGTATGGTCAAGGACAACGCCTATAATTATCGGTGATGATCAGATAATAATTTTGGAATGAAGTGGACCGAAAAATTAATATTTTGTGTTATTTTCGAGTCGATCTATAGACCACAAATGAAAGCCGAACATCACAACACAATAGCTGTACTGAATACTCGTAATATTCGGAAAATATGTCAGTGTGAGGAAGAGGTGATATTTACCTCTAATCGGGCAAGAGGGTCCAAATATCACGAAATATTGCCCAGGCTCGGAATAAACATCCGCAGAAAATTTGAGTTCCGTGGTAGTTGTGTAGGGTATCGTATGGTCGGCCCCGTCCGCTCACTGGTTTTATATTAAAATAGTTATATGATTTGTTCGGTGTTTGGGTATGGTTCTAAGACTCTATTGTAATCATTTCATCTGCGGAAGATACGAAAAAAAGTAGAACATGAAGTTCGATTATTAACCCTATATATATATATATATATGAACTGTAACCCGCATTTAGGCCTAGCCCCTGTGTGGGAGGTACCAGAAGCAGTGGACCGATATTCTCCATGTTCGAACATGAACTAATTTTGGAAGAAATAATAAAATGGGGAAAGTATGGATGAAATAAATTTTTTTTAAACAAATTTGGTCCAAAGAAACCCCATGTTTCTTTCTAGGAACAATATTTGGAACCATAATCGGGTTGTAGAAATTTCGGTATAGGTACGCTTTTTGGTATACTCCCTATATATTTATTTCAAGTACCTGTTAGTATATCTATGGTGGGAGGTATCCAAAGTTCGGCCCGGCCGAACTTAACGCTTTTTCACTTGTTGTATATAATATTGTTTTTAATAATTTAGATAATTTAAAAAAATCTAACTGATTTAGTCTCTTTTTTTAATTATATTACTAATTTTGTTTATAAACAAATGTCAGGGGAATTTCTACAGAATTTTAGCTAATATAAGCACATTTCGATTATACTATCTAAATCAGAATTCCGACTGTTAATCTTTATTTTTTCATTAATTGATTGACACTGATTAGTTGTGATAATTAAAAATTGCCAGATAACCTACTCATAGAACAATTTATGACCAGAAGATTATAGAAGACATGTGATAAGGACTTCCTAAGTGAGTCAACTAATAAATAACACCACAGATATTGAACTCAAACAAACATTTGCAACCTAGAAAAAATAATCTATAGACAATTTTCAAATCTAAACCATAATGGACATTTTAAAATAAGACAATATTTACAACCCATAACAAATAAGCTTTCATAATAACGGATGTCTAATGGTGGACGATCGTGTCTTATCGGAACAGATAAAAAAATGGTAAAAGCTCTAGGTTCGATGGCAAGCAAAGATTATATAAAAGACCTCGTCCCAGGGTCTGAGAGTTATTGTTAGTCAGTATGTCCAACATAAAAATCGTTGTAGCCTTCTGCCTGCTGCTGGCAGTAGCTTTGTGCTCCGGAGAACGTTCCCGTTATGATAACTATCGCGTGTATAAAGTGACCGCCAAAAATTCCGCACAATTGGAAGTGTTGAAACATTTAGAAAGTGCAAGTGATTCCATCATTTTCCTCAATGAAGTACACTGGATGGACAAACCTCTCAAAATTGTTGTGGCACCACATAAAGTAGCGGACTTTTTAGAAATTCTGGGCAGTAATGATGTTGAATATCAATTGTTGGAAGCTAATCTACAAACTCGTTTGGATTCGAATTATGAGGAAGTGGCAAAGTCCAGTACCTCAGATCGTGCCACCTCTTATGATTGGACGAAGTATTATGGCTTAGAAGACACCTACAGATGGTTACAACAATTGGCCATGACATATCCCAGTGTGGTGACCTTAATCGAAGGTGGAAAATCCTATCAAGGGCGTTCTATTTTGGGTGTGAAGATTTCCAAATCGAAAAGTGAAAAACCTGGCATTTTTATTGAAGCTGGTATACATGCACGTGAATGGATTGCTGGTGCCACCGCAACATATCTGATCAATCAATTACTGACATCGCAGGAGGAAAGTGTTAAGCAAATCGCCGAGAACTACAATTGGTATATATTCCCACATGTTAATCCCGATGGATTTGTTTATACCCACACGACGGATCGTTTGTGGCGTAAGACTCGCACACCCTATGGCAGCTGCTTTGGTGCTGATCCCAATCGTAATTGGGGTTTTGAATGGAATGTTGTGGGATCGAGTAATAGCCCGTGTTCAGATACCTATGCTGGACCCTCTGCATTCTCGGAAATTGAAACTCGTTCCCTTTCGGAATACATTAAGAGCCTCGAGGGAAAAATACATTTGTACATATCCTTCCATTCCTATTCTCAATTCCTTTTATATCCATATGGTCACACTGGCACATTACCTGTTAATTCGGAAGATTTCAAGCGAGTCTATGATGTCAGTATCGCCGCCATTAAGCAACGTTATGGTACCGTTTATACGGGTGGTAATATCTACGATGCCATTTATCCTGCTTCGGGTGGTAGCATTGATTGGGCCTACGAAAATGTTGGTACCAAATTGGTATTCTGCTATGAATTGCGCCCCTCGGATAGTGATCCATGGATTGGTTTTGAATTGCCAGCGAATCAAATTATACCCACTGGAGAGGAGACCGTGGACTCAATTACCGCCATGGTGAATGAAGTGGAAAATTTGGGATATTTTAAGAATTGAAATTGAAAAAGAATTAGTTTGTAAGTGAAATTTAAAAAAAAAACATCGAATGAAAAAAGTATTTAGATAATATTTAATGAATTTATGAGAGAGCTGTAGACAATAAATAAATGATAAAATATATAAAAATAAACAAAAAATCAATCGGTGCCGATAATACGTTGTTATGACTTACTTGTTGTGGGTTGTAAATATTGTCTTATTTTAATGTCCATAATTGGTTAGGTTTGAAATTTTGTTATAGATTTTGTTTTTGGTTGCAAATCGTTATTGATTACAAAATCAGTGGTATTTTAGTAGTTGCCTAATTAGGAAGTTCATTTATTATCGAATGGTCATAAATCGTATGAGTAAAGATAATAAACAAATAAAAGACGTTGGAATTCTGATTTAGTTAGTATAATCGACATACTTGTAAATATAAGAAAGAGATCTGTAATTATGCACCTAATAATTTTACATTCCAAGTAGGTTTCTTGGAGGGTGAAATACATTTTTGGTTCTTGAGCACGATTTTCAACCGAATTTGGTATTTTGTAGTCATATACGGTAACAAATCTCCCTACCAAAAATAATACTTGCCCCGTTTTTGGCGTAGTCCCCATATAACCCCCTTTTTATACCCTACACCATAGTATGGATGGTATATTCATTTTGTCATTCCGTTTGTAACTCATCGAAATATTCATTTCCGACACGCTTTTTCAACCGAATTCGCCGAAATTTTGTGCATTGGGTTCTTATTGGGTACTAAATGTCTCCACAAAAAATTATAAATATAGGTCCACTTGTCCTGGTAGCCCCCATATATATAAAAATTATAACCCCCTTTTTATACCCTCCACCATAGTATGAAGGGTATATTAATTTTGTTTTTCCGTTTGTAGCTCATCGAAATAATCATTTCCGACCCTATAAAGTATATATATTCTTGATCAGCGTAAAATTCTATGACGATATAGCCATGTCCGTCTGTCTGTTGTAATCACTCTAGCGTCTAAACGAATGGAGATAGAAAATTTTGCACAGATTCGTCTTTTGTCTGCAGGCAGGTAAAGTTCGACGATGGGCTTTATTGGTCCACGTTTAGGCATAGCTCCCATATAAGGGTACCCCCCAATTTTCGGTTTTTTGAGATTCTTGAGCGCGTTTTTCAACTGAATTCGCTGAAATTTGGTACATTGAGTTTTTATTGGGTAGCAAATTTATCCACTAAAATTTATAAATATGGGTCCATATTTTCGGATAGCCCCCATATAAGGGTATCCCAAATTTTTCGGTATTTTGGGGAGTTTGATCGCATTTTTCGTCCGAATTCGCTGAAATACGGTACTTTGAGTTCTTATTGGGTGGCAAATCTCTATACTAAAAATTATAACCGAACCGAACCGAACCAACCGAATTCGCTGAAATTTCGTACATTAGGTTCTTATTGGGTACCAAATTTCCCCACTATAAATTATATATATAAGTTCACTTTTTCTGGTAGCCCCCATATAAGGGTACCTCCCAATTTCCAGTTTTTGGGGTGTTTTGACCGGATTTTTTCACCGAATTGGCTGTAATTTAGTAATTTCAATTATTATTGGATAGCAAATCTCTCCACAGAAAAATTATAAACATAGATCAATTTTTTCGGGTAGCCCCCATATAAGGGTACCACCAATTTTCGATATTTTGAGATTCTTGAGCGCGTTTTTGAAGCGAATTCGCTGAAATTTGGTATTTTTTAGTCGTATATGGTAACAAATCTCCCCACCAAAAATTATTAATATTCACCCCTTTTTAGGGGTAGTCCCCATATAAGCCCCATTTTTATATTAAAATAGTTATCTGATTTGTTCCGTGTGTTGGGGTTGGGTAGTCGTTACGGGGAGTAGTCAATTTTTACCCTACAAAGGCTATTTAGCCATATGTTGTAAGCATTCCGCCTTCTAAAGATATTGTTATAAAATAAAACTCAAACATGACGATAATAAAATATATCGGCAAACATTTAGGCATCTCCTCAATATACTGATATAATGATGTCCCCAAATAGTCACTATTTCCTACACTATGTAATCAATATTGGTCCCCCTTTAGGCATAGCCTCACATAACTTTGTAATCTTAATTACAGTAGTTTGAGGATTTTATACTCTACCATGCTTTATCAGTATCAGTCTACTTTTTGGAACTTACAGATTTTAGGAAAAATCCCCATTAAAAATTGCTCAAGTTTGTATTTGGTGTACATAATTGTTTACATAAATCGGTTTTTGGAATTATCGGTATATGCCAACTTTTTGGTATGTTCCCTATATTTTCATTGCATGTATCTGTCAGTATAACTATGGTAGAGGGTATCCGCAGTTCGGCCCGGCCGAACATAGCACGTTTTCACTTGTTTATATTAAAATAGTTATCTGATTTGTTCCGCGTTTTGGGTTTGACTCTGTTGTAAACATTTCACCTGCGGAGGATATCGGGATAAACAAAATTGAACGCAAGGTTCGATAATGAACTATAGCCCGGATTTAGGCCTGGGCCTAGCGCCTGTGTGGGACGTACCAGAAGGAGTGGACCGATATTTCCTATCTTCGAACTTGAAATAAGTTTGGAAGAAATAATAAGATAGACAAAGTTTGTATGAAATCAACATTTTCTGAAACGGATTTGGTCCAAAGAAACATGGAGTCTAGAAGCAATATTTCGATGAGGCACATTTTCATTGTATTAAAGTGTATACACCCTCATTAGCGATAAGGCTGAGGGTATACATATCCATTAAAAATTGCTGAAATTTGTATTTGGTGTACATTATGGTTTACATAATCAGTTTGTAGAAATATCACTTTTTGGTATGTTCCCTTTATTTTCATTTCAAGTACCTGTCAGAATATATATGTGTACCTATGGGTATCCAAAGTTCGGCCCGGCCGAACTTAACGCTTTTTCACTTGTTTACATTTGTTGTGTTGATTCCTGATCAACTTACTGAAATTCGAAGTAAGAATATAATTCCAATTTCTACAAACCAGGCCTCACTCACATACAAAACCCGTAAGGAAAGTAGTAAAGTCTGACGGGGCGACTATTTGATACTCTTCACCACTTTGGGTATATTCCTTATATGTTTCTTAACAGACGTCGCCTTTTCGAAGGAACATTGGCATAAAATTGAACGAACTTGAATATGTCATATTTATGCCTTTCTGGAACCTATGCTAAATTTCATTTCATTTGGGAAAGTTTAGAGTCGTTTTCGTACAATGGGACAAATTTGTGTAAATCGATTTAAAGCAAACTTGATACACGCTATTCGGTAGGCCGCACTCTTCAAAATTTAATCTCAATCAGACATCCGTTAGAAATATATATAAATTGTGCACAATGTCTCAATTCGATACATTGTGCACAATTTCGTGTCACTCGGTGCATCATTTACCTAAAATCCAACGAAAATATATATTGGAGCTATATCCAAATCAGAACTGATTTCAACGAAACTTGCCAAAGATTAATTTATATTATTTCAGTGGAAATCGAAAGATATATAGGGACTTTGGTGCACCATTTACATAAAATCGGATGAAAATATATGAAGGATCTATATCTAAATCTGAACCGACATTCACGAAACTTAACACACATTATTGTAGATCTAATTAAATACGCTGTGTCAAATTGTGTGCAAATCTAAAGATATATAGGGAATTTGGTGCACCATTTGTATTAAATCGGACGAAAATATATAATACTAGCAGACCCGGCAAACGTTGTTTTGCCGTATTAGAATTGGTTTGATAAAAATTAACGAATCCATGAAAATAAAATTTAAAAAATATTTACCTTTTAATTTATATCAAATTTCCGATATAAAAAATACGCATAATATTTTCCTCACTACGGTAATATTTTAAGATATATTGTTATTGTTAAATATTAAATTATGTCAGTATGTATGGTATTTCAGTTTATCAATTTGTCGAACTTATTCCACCAAACATTTTTCAGGAGAAGGTCATGTTTTGATCTAACTACTCTCACCTCAAGGGATAATTTAGTATGGATGGCGTAATTACTATTTCTATTTTGATCACATACGATTCATAAGTCCTTTGAATCAAAATTTTGTGAAAACGCCCAAATTTTCTTTGGTAAAACTTTTTCCACTGCAAATAAAAACAACCGTAGGCAAATGTGAGTGCAGTCGTTCTCAATTGGTGCAGTCGTTCTCAATGGAAAAATTTTTCACATAAAAAAATGGCTCACAATTATTGTGGGTTTTTAAGCCTCCCTATCTTTGGTCCATATTTTGCATAGTGTAATTTTAGGTACTTTGAAAGGAACTTCAAAGTTTGGTCAAAATCGGTGCTGTGGTTCTTGTGTTACGGTGCAAAAACACAAAAATACTAAATATTGCGTCATTTGTCGGATGAACTTCAAACTACACAGAAACACTCCTCACGCCCCATAGAGCCAGTGCATTAAATTTTGTCAAAATCGGTGCAGTAATTTTTGAGTTTAGCGATCACGAACATACACATAATTTTTATGCATATAGAGATATGGAAGCTGTATCCAAATCTGAACCGATTTACCCAATTTCAATAGGGTTCGTCCTTGGGCAAAACAAATGAGCAGTGCCAAATGTCATCCAAATCGGATCATAAATGCGATCTGTACCTTGTTTACAATTTAACATTCACAGACTCAGAAAGTGATTCTATGCATATTCTCAAAAGGAACCATGGGTCTATGTCGTTTCCTTTCACCTGTTACAAACATATGCACAAAGACATAATACCCTGTACCACAGTGTGGTAAAGGGTATTCAAACTCGTATAGTTTAAATTGATTCCTTAAAAATGCGAATAATGATTCAAATCGAAAAGTCGTAGTCTTTAAGTCGTGGCCCTACATCGAAAAGCTATAGCCCTAAAACATTAATTTTCTTAAAGTTCCATTTATAGATTTAACTTCCCACACATTAACCGACATACGCCCCTGAATCGG